ACACACACACACACACACACACACACACACACACACTTCATGCCATATTCACAGGTAGTAGCTCATTAATTTTAGGCTGGTTTGCTAATATAATAAAGGAAGGGAAGCTCATCCTTTCTCATATCCTGCAAAACTATAGCTGGAACATTAAAAATGTGCAAGTTAAACCGAAAGTCACAAAATGGGCTAAATTCTACTTAATTTACATCCTCTAGCCTGTGATGCAAATGTGAACAATGGCACAATTGACCTGACTACACTATTGATTGTCTGTTCCTAAAAACCCTCTTGCAGCCACAAACAAATGAGCACCTCGGAGCCTCTTCAGCGTTAAAAATAACCTGCTCACAAGATGACAAAGGAAAAACTGCTCCATAAATGAAATCACTTGGATGTAAAGCACTTGCAAAACTGGAGAGTTTTGGACAAAAAGAGTGGTGATGGGGGACACACAAACCTGATATCTAGACTGTCCTGTATGCTTTCTTTTTCCACTTAACACGGGGACTCGTGTTTTGCAGACAAATGCCAGTGAAAGGAGAGGTTTGAGAAAACAATGCAATAGTGCTATTCACCAACGTGCCCCATCACCTACTTCACACCAGGAAGGATTTTGCCTTCCCAGTAGTGACGAAAACTCATACAAAAGCCCTTATGGGGTGTACTTATTGTTTTTTCCCACTGGTATAGCACCATACCCTGCAACACCTGTAATCTTAGATGGGGGTTATTCAGATAAGATCCTATCAGGCAGTGTAATCACCCAATAACCTGTTTGTCGAGTATGCTGCTGACATGCTTTGACAAACACAAAACAGTAAGTGTTTTACATGAAGTATCTTCAGGTGTTCAGCAGCCTACATGCTTACCATTTCCTACTCTGACACATGAAATAGGCTGACAAAGGTACCAAACTTATTGGCAAAGGGAACTGAAATTATGCATGTTTGTGGGGATTTTTAAAAGGCTGATCTGCTGAGTGAATTACTCTGTTATTAGCAGCAAAAAAGCACTAAGCTGAAATTCATCGATATCCTCATGAATCTGCTCGGATCTTTTAATTCAATTCTTAATAGCAGCGCAAAACCAAGACGAAATTTTACCCTCTCTTATTTGACTGGGGCTCATCTGCAGCCGAAAGACGTATAGAGGTTTGCTAAAACTTCGATCAATGCGAACGGTGCAAGGTTTTGTTTTTTTTTTGTCATTTACCTTTCCGCCGCCACTGTGTTGGTTGCCTTTACACAGTCCGTCTCGACGCTGTGCAGAAGAAAAAATCCAAACCAAAATCCTGCTCTCAGACGCGAAGCAAAGTGGTCGTTAACTTTAAACGGAGGCGGCGAGGTCTGCCGAGTGGAAGCGGTGAACTACTGCGCAGAGCAGCGACTGAGGATCCCTCCGGCGAAGCACCGCCTCAGCTGATCTGCGCCCTCCTTTGCTAGCCAATACACACCCGTTATTCCGGTCCCGTGCGTCCATCTGCGAAGTTAGAAAGTAATGCTTCGTTTAAATTATGCAGCTGTAAAAGCGCAGTTATCACTCTGCATCCTTCAGGAAGTATACGCTAAAAGCTGCACCGTAATGCTTTCAACAGTCTTATCATTTGCAGCGCTGTTGTTGTTTTTGGTGTTGCTGTCCATCATGAGCCTTTTTAAAGTGATGAAGCTGACGTCACATGTTAAGGCGCAGAACAAAAAAAGCCACCGTGGTTACAATAAAATAATATCAGCATATAACCCCTTCAAATTGCTTGTAACAACATTAACAAAAATAAATAAATAAATAAATACTAAACTTATGGCTACTTAGGCTACAGACGTCGAGCCACCTTGGTGTTGATAGAATTTGTTTATAGCTTAGTGACCAATAACGATAAATATTAATTGTATTTACGTGGTTATAAGCCTTATAGAGGCTACGCTGTTATCTGAGGTATGCTTTTAATCAAATAGTGAGTAAACAGTGAAATACTGTAAATACTGCGGCTATGAACTCATATCTTTAACAAACAGTGCGTATTGATATCAAACGTGAACAAAATCCGGGACTATACTATTGCTGACGAGTTTTACGTTAACTTCACCCAATTAGAAACGAGTATTTTGTGATTAAATAATAAAAGTTTGGTTTGTTTTTTTTTTGTTTTTTTTTGTTCCTTTATACTTCATTACATTTGTACACCACTAACAACGGATACGTTACAGATAAAATGAAAAATTTAACTTACCAGGCAAGATGTCTGTTATGGGTGAACGCCGTACAGCTTCTGGTGTTATCGCACAGTATGTGAATGAGTTGCTCACGCAGTAGCCCGTTAATATAACAGTGAAATTCAAACAGTTGCACTGCCAGTTTATTTCCTAACAAAGACATATACAGCTACAGTATAATGCAGCCACACTTTAAATTTTCTTAAATGAGGTGAATGCTTCCTCTGCGTCTCCATTAAACCAAGTTCTGTTTATTTAAATTATGCTTCTTGTGGAAAGGCTTAAGTACTTTATTATACATTCACACATATTCTGAGGTGTATTGTAATATTCTGGCCAGTGCGGTACTGCAGCATACCCGTCCTCAACCAACCACATGACATAATTATATGTGTGGACTTTAACAAGAACCACAATATTTGGTAAAGCACACGATTTCACATTCCACTGAGCACAATGGTGAGGGATTAAGCTGCACAATGAGGACGAGGCTGGCAGGAGAGGATAACAGACATGGAAAACATGTGGGTGTCTGGGTTAGAAAAGAAGGGTGAGTCAGGTCAGAGTTAAACTTTTCCCCGTCTTTAGTTTTGTGGTTAAACTTTCCTCTTTTTTCGTAAACTGGGTCAGCACCACCTCACACTCCATATCGTGACTTCTTACAGGCTGCATCAGTTTTCTCTGGAATTAAATCTTTATATAAAGCAGTCAGCTGAAGTGAATTATGAAGTGTACTTCCCAGCAGATCTCTGATGACATGTTGTGGTAAAATAAGGAACTGCATTTTTTCCTAATTAGGAAGCCAAATAACAACTCAGGCTTTTCCAATGACAAAAATCCACCCAGATTTTACATTTTATTACCTTGTCTGTACAACATGGTACATAACAGACACATAACAAAAACAATAACAAGGAAAATAGTAAAGGGAATTATCCACTTGTGTGGGTTTCTATAACAACAGCTTTTTTTTGCTCGTCTTACTACAGCAATGAGTGACTAATGGCAAAGCATTTCTCCTCTTGAAAGCCTTAAAAGTGACTTTACAAATACTGGTACAATCTCCAAGCTGTGTCTGGTTTTAGTGGCATTTCAGCGACAATGTTAGCCAACTGTGAATAATGAAAAGATGTCCATGATGTAAATGTCTATATTTAAATCAGAAATGAGCCACAACACTTTTTCAAAGCTCATTATACATAGTCATATCCCAAACTTTAAAACTTTCACTAGACCCAACATACAGACTATATGTACAACTGAGGCAACAAACAGAACACAAAATCAATTTCTTTCTGCAGTGAACTTCAAATGCACCGATAAAGGCAGAGCTCCAAATGTCACATGATAACATCTTCAAGCATAATTGTGTGAAAGGCAACACAATAAATAAAACAAATGGCACGGAAGGTCTGAACAATCTAAACTGAGAAGCACAATGTCTCTGGGAATATTCACAGGAAACTAAATACTAAAGCAAGCACGCCCCTGTAGACAGTAAGAGAAGCTGACTAAAGAGAACTGAGATTAACAAAAACAGAAAATCACAATCTAATTACAGTGAGGAGTATAACATTTATAATTCAATATAGTATTTCTATTTACAAGCATTTATACAACAGAGCACATTAAACTGGGGTTTGGGCTTATTACTCTATCAGGACATGGAGCAGAACAATCAGATCATATAATGCACTAAATATAAACCTTGTAAACATCACATCTCACCTTTTATCTTAGATATCAGTCAGTTTAAGTTTATATTTGTCAGGTTCAATAAGCATTTGTCCTTACTTTAAGGCATAGGTATCAAGCTTAGGAGTAAGCCTAAGAGTTTACTTTAAATAAGCCAGATTTATTCAAAAGGTTTCACTCCAAAGAGAGAAATCATACTCATCACAGCAAACCCCCAAACCAAAACGTCCCTACTCGTCGCTGGATCAGTTCAGCTAGCTGCACAGTTATAAGATCTCCTCGACTCCGTGCGCAAAGATCATAACCAGGCCGGGTTCCAGGATCATATCCTCCCCCATATGCTGATTCTCACAGGCCATCACCACCACTGCCTGCTTGCCAGGGATACGCTTGGCAACGTAGTTCTCATAGTAGCGCCTGTTCATCTGCCGCGTCTCGAGAGTGGCCAGTCCCTGCGGCCAATTACGCTCGTGGGCGTTTTCGATCAGGTCGTTTACAATCGAAAGAGGACAGCCGCTGTCAATGAGGGAGCGCTTGATGACTGCTTGGAGGACAGCATCAGGAGTGGAGATCATGCCACCCCAGCGTGTCACTCTAGCAGGCTGCATGGAGTTTACCCACCTGAAGGTTTATAAAAAAGAAAAAGAAAATTAGGAACTGAATTTATTTCAGATCAAATATTAGGAGAGGAAAGCTTCACTTACTCAAGTATCTCATTGTACTCGATGCTCTCCTCAAGGTTTTGCAAGTTTGGGTTTGCACTGCGAATTGCTCTCATGTAGGCTTTTAGCAGCTGAATGTCTCGTTTCTGGAAATGAAAAGCAATACAGTGAATGAAAAACCTCTCAAAACTGCCTCAAGTACAAAATCTGTAACTGTCCATGTAAAAAGCCCAAATAGATTCACATCCACACCAAAAAAAAAAAGAAAAAAAAAGTGCAATAAGAATGAGGAGACCATTGTTATTGCACGTCCATCAAGCACATATAATAGGCATGCATCTGTGTCTTATACCACAAAGACATGGCACTCAAATTATTTCTGCCAAATATCATAGAGACAGACAACTGTTAATATTTTATCAAGACTAGACCTAATATTTTGTCCAAAATATACTATTGTGTTGACAAAATACTCATACTTGTTCCCCCAGCTGGTGTTTATGTTCTGCTACAGTTTTTTCCAGCTCTGAAATTTTAGTTTGCTGCTGCTGGACAACGCTCCGCAAGTGTTTAATACAGTTATGATTGGGCAGCTCATCTTTGGGCATTTCAAGCCTGCAAGAGTGAGAAAAACAGAATATTAAGAAAGAAAAGAAAATTTAATAGTATAAAATACAAAGGAGGCTTGTAAGGCTTTGGATTTATTCTATGAAATCCACTTACCCACATCCCTCCTCACAGTTGACAGGCCTTTTGGGGTTGTGCTCACAGTCCTTGAGATGTGACTGCAGCTGGTCCAACCGCAGTGTTGCTGTGCAGCCAAAGCTCGCATTATCACAGCTGATCTGAAGTTTGGACAACATGTTGCGCATAATGCGGGGCACAGGACGGAGGTGAGCCAGCGTCACTACTGTGCGGTCAACAGGACAAATCTGCTGCTGGGCAAACCACTGCGTTATGCAGGCATTGCAGAAAGCATGTTCACAGTGTGGAGCCTGAGGTGGAAAAATGCATATGCATATAAGACAAATGTAATGTCAGAAATACAGATAGAATTAAGAGGTGGGGGGTATTTTGATCAAAGACTTGCCTGCACTGGTTCTTCTAACACTCCACTACATATTGGACACAACAGGTCTTCATCCACCTCCCCTTGAAACCTCGTAACGTCGTACCCCATGGTACATTACCCACAACCTCCTGAACAGCACACAAAAAGGTTTTTAGCCATATTAACTTCTTAGAGACACAACTGTAGACAGATTATACTAATCTGTACAAAGATTTTAAGTATTTTTAATTGTTATGCAACAGAGAGGCACTGACTAATCCTAAATGTATTTGGGTGCATGATAATGACCCCAAAGTGATTAAAAAAACACTTTCAGTGACAAGAAAAACACCAGATGGTACTCAACTAGCCTTGAGGGGTGTACCACAAAGCGAGACTAATAGGTCAACAGCGTATGTCAAGCTTAAAACTCAAGAGTTTTCAGTGTCACAAAGGTGGTCACCATGGTAACTCATGTTAAACTCTTAACCTGGTCCAGAGCAGGTCGTATTCAGAGTTTTGGTTTACAATTGTAAGCAACTGCCACAATTTAATTGGTACTCTTAAAGACAGTATGAGCCAAGTGTGCTATAGATTCTCTGCTGAAGGAAACCATTTTATATATAGCACCAGCTGAACAACACTTACTAATAAAAATAAATGAAGCCATTACAGTGCATACTGTGGACCACATCATCATATAAATGTACATGTATTCAGTTGTCATAATTCATAGTAGACTGCTGAAAATACAGCAGATTAGAAATTAATCAGTCAATTTGCTGGATATCAGTCACAGAGTATATTTAACCAATAAAATTAATTTTGCTTTGATCTGTTGACAATGTCTAGCAGCAATAGTTGCCATTTGAGGTTATATTTTTGTATGTTCTTCATAGATCTCTATCACACAATCTGGCAATTTTATGCTGAGAAGCAGTCATGTGATGCATCAAATTCCCCTTTTTATGCAAGTGTGAGAATCAATAAAGATCTTCATTATGTTCGAATAAAGTTTTAGGTTTGGTAAAGCCAGCTAATGCAAAAAAACCCTGGATATGTTGAACCTGCTTCATAATACAACTGTGCTCAACACCATCAGCTCAGTCTGAGTTTACATAAAGAATCAAAAACAGTTCAGATTCAAAGAAAAAGGGCAAGTTTACCAAGACATGTTGACAAATTACTTGCCAAGCAATGCCAAATAACCTGCCTAAATCCTTTACATAGTTCAAATATTTTAAGCCTACCTCACGCACAAAAGGCCTCAAATGTTTCCATTCAGGTCCTGATGTTTTGCTGATACGTCACATCTGGTAAAATGGCCTCCTTGCTAAAAGAGTTTTTAAAAAAGAAAAAGAAAAATTATAATATTCATAGTGATTATTAGATTCAATACAGTTCTTGCATGGGACAAAATCCAAGATCGACGCAATTTATCTGGAGATATATTAAAAAAGACGTGAGCTCAGTCGTTTTCAAATTTTCTTGCAATAATCTATATTCTTTACCTAACAGCATCCCACACCTGTTTTATCTTTATGAACATCGTTTTCTGCTTTAATCAAAAAAATGTTTTAAAGGAACAATGACTCGAGACATTGAGCACACAGCCCTGTATCGATGCCCTTGACCTAACGTTGTGTAAATGTAACCCTACTGTCACCTACGGCACCTAATGAGAACATCCTGTCATTCCAGCTGACTGGCTGATGACCCAATTTGACTGAAAGCGGCACATGTAGGCGATTTACAGACCCCCATTTCTCCAGTTGCTCTCAACATGCCCTGCAAACATTAGCATCGCTAACGTTAGCTATATGGAAGATATTTCGTTGACAACGCTGTACTTTGCTCCAGTTATTTGGGGTTTATAATTAAAGCAACTGGGGTCATCACACAAAAAGCACCGCAATGCTTGGATATAAGAACCCCTCTCTAGTCACAAATTACATGTAGCTATCGCTATTCCACTAACCATCCCTTTTAGCAAATACGGTACCGTTGGTTTTCCCTGGATATTAGCATCAAGCTAACCAGACAGAGCTCAGTCTAGGCGTATTACACAGAGAAATGTCCGCTTACAATTGCACACGCTAGAAGAAAATACCATAACTAACAGATATACTTACCTACGCGTGTATTAAACTAGTTCTTTATGACGAATTCTGTGTTTTTTTCAGACGTCCCAGTGTAGCTAGAAGCTTGATAGCCACGTCCTGTGCTACATCCTACACTTCAGCGTCGTTGAGACGCAAGCGAGCGGCGACGTCATGACGTACCGCTACAACGTTCGTTTGATTGGTCCTTTAACTTTTTCTCTCTCCATCCATCTTTCTATCTTCATTCATCTACAGACCATATTATAATACACATTTACTCAAATCTGACTAGAACTACCAGTTCATTTTTTCCGTGATGGTTTCCTTTTTAAAGACAAATATGGCACAAATACATACAGTAATCTGGGACATTGGTTGCTTTTTTTCATTCATTTTCAGTCCATTCCTATTACCCACCACATTCAGATGAAAACATTTTTGTCTCTTAAACTACTTACAGCATTGCCTGAACTCTATTAGACAAGCTTTTTGGTACTTGAATGAATCATTCAAGCATTAAAAAGCAACATGTCATGGGATGAACTAGTGTTGTGTCTTTAGATAACACATTAGCAAAGATTTTGCTAATTTGTCTGATTTTAAATTGCATCTTTAGGTACTTTGTTTTTAGCAGCCTGTTGGAAGACAAAAGAAGTGGAAGGCCTATAAAAACTGTGTCTGAATGTTATGTCTGTAACAAACAGGAAAACAGCCAGCAAAGACTTGACACAGGACCCGAGAAATGCATCATTAGAAATGGTCTCAGTGGAAGAGTGGCTGTCAAGAAGACATTCTTAAAATATGAAAACAGAAAATGCTGAGGTATGCCAAATGACTGACAATGAGTCGCAACATGTGATTCAGTTCAGTTAAATTAAATTTTATTTACAGTTCATTAACAGTTGCCTTAAGGTGCTTTATATTGTAAGGTATACACTTGCCAATAATAAAGAGAAAACCCCAACAGTCACCCCAACTCCCTGTGACCAAGGAGCTGGTGATAGCGGCAAGGAAAAGCTCCCTTTACCAGGAAAAAAAACCTCTTGCAGGACCAGTCCCAGTGAGGGGGATCCATCTGTGATGACCAGTTTAGTGTGAGGATGATGAATCCAGATTTTACGTTTTTGTCTCAATGTTTGGAGGTGGTCAGGAGAGAATTAAACAATGAATGGCTTAATTTATAATCATCAAAATGACCACAAAAAGCAAAGTAAGTTAAAGAATACCCGGATTTACAAACAAAAAAACATACACACACAATGGATCACTATCCGTCATGGACTGACCTTCCCAGAGCCTAGACGTCAACGGTGTGGTGGTGACTTTGACAGGGAACAGAACACAAATTAGCCAACATCCAAAGAACTTTGAATCTCCTCCAAGATGCCTATAGAACTATTCCTGAAGACTACTTGAAGACTAAAATGTGTCTAAGAGAGTTCAGGCGTCCTTTAGGCATACCAGGAATACCAAATATTGATTTTCAATCTTGTTGGAGTTGTGCAAACTGCCTAATATACCAAATTTCAAGATATGTTTGTGCATGTAATGGAATTGCTGCAACCATTTGCCATTTTCCTAGCAAAGCATAAAGACACGGAGGGTTGCTCATTACTTTTCCACAGCACAGCCACACAAACATGACACGATTCTTTCTCAGCCGTGAAAGAACATAATGTTATATTTAGGACAGAAGGTAAACAGGAAGGGGAAAAAATAGGTAGAAATATCCAGACAGAAAATGCACTTTATGCAGAGTGGGTGGATCTGGTTTAGCAGAACGGGGCGCACACTGAAATGAATGACTCAGTCTATAACAGTGTGAGTGCATGCTCCTCCAACACTGACACGGTGTCATTGAACTGCACTGGTACTCTTATAAATCTATCTGGTTTTATGCAAAATAAAATCCAGCTCAAATCAGTCTCACTGTTAGAGGAAACTTAGAGCTAGTTACAGCAATATTCACATTACTTTTGCATGCAAGTCAGTCATTTTATTACATTAGTTTCTTATGAAACTAGTGGTTCAATCTGGTATAAACTCCAGCAGATCAATATTTTAATGTCACTTGTTACTGTATTTTGCACAAAACATAAACACTTTAAGTAGTATATCAATTCCTTATGAGTAACACACAAAGGTCAAAGTCCAATACACTCCCATCATACTACTATAAAATGCGAGCTAACAGTGGTGGTAAAAACAGTCAAGTTCTTTGCTTTGTCAGTTCCTCATTTGAGTTGAGAAACCTCAAGCAGATTCTCACATACACACACATTAAAAGGTTTAAAATGTCTTCTCAGCTATAATTTTTTTTTCTTGGGTTCCTAGTTTGAAAGACACTGCAGAAAACAACACACGAAAAAGATAAATAACTCCAGACTCAAGAAATATTTAGCAATAGCACTTTATTGAACACAAACAACCCTAAGCCACAATACTGAATGACAAGACCAATTGGCTGCAGCAAACATTTTATAAAATAGATTCAGGTTTAATGTCACTAAATTGTTTTTTTTTTCCTTTTAACGTCAGAAAGACAGATGCAGGTTTTTCCAAAACAGTGAATGATCTTTTACATATTTAACATTTCTGTAACAAATTATCATTCACATGTTCACACAAAGGAATAACAAGGCAAAGTGCTTTCAGGATTGCATTGTCGAAAAAAATTTAAAATAAAACAAAAACAGAAAAATGAATGGCTTGAGGTTAAAGGTGAGACGGTGGGTGAGAGGGGAGGGGTGGGGGAGTTGGGCTGGTCTTGTTTTAGAGTAGGCATGGGTGAGCTGTTGGGTGGTTGTGAGGGTGGTGGGATGGTGGGGCCTGGTCTGAAAAACCTCAAACCTTTCACCTTCGTCCCGTACCCCTTTGTAGTCAAAACTGGATGTAAAATGTTGGGGCAGTGCGGAAACAAGATGCCTGTGTAGCAGAATTTGGTACAGAGTGGACAGATGGATTCAAAGGCATACGGCTCGAGGGGCTCAAACTCATCCACATTTACAAATACACCTTACTATCATCCCTGTGACAACCTGTGATATCATTACAACTGTAGGGGGGAGAAAAAAATCAAAATAATGAAAATAAATAAATAAATGGCTGACCCAAAAGGAAGCTGTAAACGTTGAAATATTGTATAGCATAGGGCTAGATAGGGGAAGTATATGCATAAGAGGAAACCAAAGAAATAAATGCTGTTAAAATATAAAGCCAATGGTTATTCATTTTCTTAAAAAGATGATTCCTCTGACCATTCGCCACTGAATGTTAAAGGGGATAGACTATCATCATAATCTGCATCATAACGTTGTCTGGCTTCACATTCCAGTGGTATTTTGTCGTATAAATGCTTCTCATAAATATTTTTTTTTTCCAAACGTCAAATAGACAAGTACACATACAGCACAACCAAGCACACTTTATGTATAACTACCATTGCTTATGATAAAATTTTTATTCCCGCACTGTGAATAAACTTTTTTTTTTTTTTTTGTAAGTCAGAACAGGTGGAGAGACGAACAATACTCAAGGCTGCAAAACAAGGAGGTAGGAGAAATGCTACTGAAAAAACAGCAAGTGAAGCTAACGCAATCGTTCACTTAAACAATTGTGACACACCAGGCTTCCTGAACCATGCTAGTGCCAACAGCTGCTAGTCCAGTTGGAGTTTGAAGAGCTGTGTTTTAACAAGTGTTTGATTTTAACTTTGAATATTGACTTGGCTATTTAAAAAAAAAAACAAAAAAAACCCTAATAAAAGTGTATCTGCAGCTTTCTGACAGCTCCTGCATTGACTGGGGTAGCAGCTGTGGTGATGTACTAGTTAAAGAAATCTTAAGAGGCTCATTCATCTTTACACAAAAAAAAAAAGAAGAAGAAAAAATATGTCTGAATCGTGTCTTAACCCTATATTCCCAGACTGGTCATATTTCAAAATTGACTAATTTCAACTTCATTGGTCCTGTTGTCATCACAGGTCTCGAGACCGCGCTGCTGGTGATGGCATTGACTCCTTTACACACAGTAGAATAGTGTATTTGCAGATTTGTAAATGAGGTAATCAGCGTTAGGCTAAATAGGGAACCCTGTCGTTGACACACACGCCCACTTCATTCACCAGCAAAGAGAAGAAAAAAAATTCCTCAATCAGAGGGACAGGACTGTGGAAAATTAAATCAACTTTGGAATGTTGGGTGGACAAGCCAACTTTTTTTTTTTTGTTTAACTTTCTATGAAGGTGCACTGTGAAACTCTTTGATTGTAATTCATCACATGACCTGATTCAAAGTCCTTCCACTCATGATAGGAGCTCCTTTGTCATTACCCCATAATAAGCCACTCAAAAAAAAATAACACGAAACAGGCAACCCATTAATCTAGCGTTTCCTTTTTAAAACTCGCAATGACTTAAGGCTGCATCAGCAGCAGATCAACGCCTGCTTTAAGTCCAGTTGTGAGAGGATTGTTAATAGCTCGTGAGTTGCAATGAGGTGGCAACATCTACAGTGAAGCAGACTAAACATAAAAACACAGAGAAACAAAAAAGAAAAAGGGACAACCACTACTAAAATGTCACAGAACATGCAGTATACATCCTTTCCTACAGTAAGCTATTCCTAATAGCACATTCAAGGGGGCTCCTAATGGGCAAATTCTTTGATATGGCTCTGCTTTAGAGTAATCAAGCTTGGTGAGAGACTACTTCTATTATGGGCTCACAGAAGGAGCATGTCGATAAGGTGCTCCGTCAGAAGATTGCTGCCTTGGTTCAACTGCACGAATGCGTTGTGTCATTCAGTTCGACGGTAAACACTGGAAAGTGTTTCGAACATTTGTTTTCCTTCGTGTAAATAAATGTTTCCCCCCAAAGACACATCTTTTGCTGGTGAAAACAAACGGCACTTTCAAGGGGAATGTTTCTCTAAAACCACAATCACAGGACCTCCAAGTAACAAATTCTGAAAACACACAGGCTATACAGTAGATATAAATCTCATGAGTTTCTTAACTGTACAAGCTTTAGGCTACACACTGAAAAGGGAGGGACACGTAAGAACCCTTAATGCTTAACATTGAAAACAAATATAAGGCATTTCATATTTCCATTTATCCGCATACATCGCCGACAGCAGGTCTAAATATGTTTTTTTTTTGTTTTTTTTTTTGAGAAAACATTTCATTCAAGGAGGAAGAAAGGATGCATATACACATCTACACATGCAAATGAACATGTCTATACTGGCTATTAAACCAGAAGTCCAAACTACAATACCATCAAAGTCCATCCATAAGAAAGAAGAAAAAAAAAATGCTCCTACTCAAATTTATCAACTTGTGCAGGGTCCTTTGTCTGAGCAGGCAGCTGTTAAAGATGTATGTTGATCACAGTTTTAAGAATGGAATATCACACACTCCACAATCAAATGCCACCTCTCTGATCACAAACAAGAGGACCACTTGAAATCCTTCATTTGCTACAGATGAGTGACTTTTGGTGTTAACAAAAAAAGGGCATATTAAATATTTTTCCCAACTGAGGAAGCAATGATAAACAAAAGGTTATTGCACTTTTATCTTCCATTTCAAACGAGGTCAGCTTGAGAGAAGATGATCCATGCCTTAATGTCGAAGTAAGACAACAAATGTTACGTCACTCCTATAATATGATCACACTGTTATTAACACTGCACACAGCTACTACTGCAACCCTACTTGTAGTCAGTCTAGCCTAAAAATAAAAGACAAAAAAAAAAACAAAAAAAACAATCTCCACAATCAAATCGCAACACAGTCACAACAAACAGTTTACCTATGTCTGATGTTGAATTCAGGTACCGCATCGTTTCACAATCTGCACTGTGAAGTTACTAACCGTCAACGAATACCCAAGAGTTGAGAAGAACAATCAGAAGAAAGCTCTGAAATTCCAGGCAATGGTCTTTCTACAGTTAATGTGTTACTGACAATCAAACCTCATGTTTCCTGCACTAGAGAGTTAGATGTTTTTCCTCACTTCTTTGCCTCAATTTGGTCTATAGGCTCCTTCGCTTCTTATTGTTGAGAGAGCCAGCTGAGCCCCGAGGTGCCTTCTTTGGATTTGTGCTTTCGTACTATTGATCCTCATCCATCTGATGTTTGATGTGCCCTAAATCGCATCAGTACTGTGCAAGTTATTGAGCCTCCCGGAGGGAGCAAATAGTGAAATCCAGACTAAAACTGTAGGAGTTCTTTAGAGTGTTTTGTTTGTTTTCGTCGTTTTAACTTGGATCACACTAGATTGAAGTAATAATGCTCAGTGGGAGTATGAGCCCATCTACTGTAGTCATGTATGTTCAGTGTAATTTCTCTTTCCCAATATAAGGCTTCTGGGAAATACAAATGGAAGACCGTACCTTTCGGTAGTAACAAATAAAAGGCACCATGCCAACACTGTGTTCGATATTACACAGGTCTTATTGGTGGGGGAAATTAATGACCAAGTGTTCAGGCAGGGAAGGCGGTCAAACGAGCATTAGTCATAATGTAAAACTTGTATTGTTCTGACTTACAGAGGTAAAGTTTTATAGCTACCTTCATTTCCCACCTTAACTTAGACTCTACCCTTCGCTCCACATGACTTGCGTCAGATAACAGAGTCATTGGTTGATCGTAATGAACATGTCGCAACAGGGTTAACTAAGCTTTTCAGTTCAGTTTTCAATTCAAAAAGGAAAAAAGAAGAATAAAAGGGCTTGTGCATGTTTAGGTTCAACATGCATATGTTGAAAGGTCACTCACACTACACGAGAAATTTTCACAACTGGCATCAGGAAGGAAAAAAAAAGAAGAAAAAAAGAAAAAAGAGAACGCCCCGCCCCCCCAAAAATCACAGAGGATCAATGTCAGCATTGTCACACAAAAGATCACTGATGAGGTAAAACTGCAGGTCCAATAAAAAGTACAAAGTGCAGTTGGCTGCCCCTTCGTAAGGTAGGAAACATGAGACATCTACTGACACTAATCAAACACTTCCGCGTAGATACATCTGATTTAGGCTGGTTTAAGCAGAATTACACAACTCACAACGAAATGGATCGAAAGATCTGAACTCTTTGTTAGCATAGCTGTACAAGCAAGAATTTCTTTTCTGTCTGAATATTTCTGAGGTACACCACTGCTCTCCCCCCACCCCCCACCCCCGGTCGTTTGGCTCTAGATATTACATAAGCCAAAGTTGATTGTTTACGAGTGAACTCTGAATTCATTCACAGTGGAAAATATGGCGAGATCCCAACCACTCCGAGCAATCTCTGCACCATGGCAACCTTGAGCTATGTGCTACCTCAATTTATTTGTGTGCTTCTTGACACCCAGAGATTTTTGTAAGACCAAACAAAAGAAGGAAGAAAAAAAAAAAGCCAATTTTCTTTTTTAGCAATCCAACCTAGCAGCATAACTCTGAAGGTGACACAACTAAACAGGTACTGCCAGGTATCATTTTCTTTTATAGCTTTTAAGGCAAAAGGCTCAACAGTGGATCAGAGGGTTGAATTGAAATTTGCAATTTACTTCAAGTAAGAACCAAGACATCCATTGAGGCAAATCAATTCTATTCTGTATATATACCATGCAGTTTTGGACATCAAAAATTGTTTTTTTCTCCTTGTAACACACTTTACAAACCACCTTATTTACCACAAAACCTAGGGACTGCTTTGCCAATACCAAAGGGACTAAGTATATTCTTCAAAAAATGTCCAATTATAAAATAGACTTCTAGCAACACCAAATTTTTTTTAAACAGAATACTTGGTTTCAAGTATGAATATCCCATGCAAATATTTATAGCTTTTCTTTTGACTAATATAACTGGTGAAAAGCATGCAGCTCCAAACACAAAATTTATAATACTCCTGCCTATGTCTGAATATGTTACGGACTGAGTAAATGTGATTAATGTCTAAAGGCAAATCAAGGTTTCTATGGCACTAAATGGGTGTAGCTTAGGTGCATTTTTTTGTCAAATATAGGCTATTTAACGTGTGATCGTATCTACTGTAGACCTTCTTGTCCCTCTTGTTTTACTGTACTGTAAGGCAATCTCAATGGAATGGATGAATATGAATGTTGAATTCATCTGAACTCCTGTCCTCCGTTTACCTTGTAGGCTACACTCCACACAATATGTATAGAGAAAGAAAAGTGATATTTCACAACAGTAAGCCTATACACCAATGATAATGCCAAAAGAAATATCCAGACTTTCGATGCAGGAAGACTACTACACACACAGTATAATATGCAGAGAATCATTTTACTACATGCTACCTGTATAATCATATCTATGCAAGACAAATGAAGAGCAACAGTTTAAAGTCGGGAGAAAGCAATTTGTCCTGCTCTAAACTGACCCTACATTCATTTCAGTCAGAAAATTCATGGCTCAGATTTGATGGTCAGACTGTAAACTGCTTGAATGCATAAATCCATTGCTGCTTTACTAAGAGGGGTTTCCCCCCTTAACACATTTTGGCAATCAGGCCTTTTTCTTTTTGTGACCAAAGATTATGACATCTAACCCGCATTTAAATCTTCCATTGGCATTTATGCTTTGATTTACTAAACTGGCCTAAATGGATGGCAGTGCAATATTTGTGCTGCACACTATTACACACGCACGTGCGCTATTGCTACAAGTGGACCTTTCATTGCTTTCCGTTTCTGACTCCAGATATATTGTATATGCTCCATTTGTTTAATCGTTGCTATATCAAAATCGTGATCTAGCTCCGTGCACAATCATTCAGTTATTACTGGTACACACAAATAATAATAATAATAATAATAATAATAATGAAAAAAAGCATGTATAAGAACACTGTAATAAAACAAAAGGATTCAGTTACGACTTGTATAGTTGCAAGGGGCAATGGCTCCATTTACTGGTCAGATATGGACATCACAAGAGGCAAGCAAAAAAAATTAAAAAAGGACACCCCTGCCTGGACAGGCTGGCCTGACAGCACCTACTGATGGCAGAAAGAGTATGTAGTTTTTGAGGAGCCTGCCTGAGGTGTTTAAAAATCATTGGACTGACTTTAAGTGACTTAGACCAGAGTCTATCGTCAGCAGTAGGCTGGGTAATGTAACCATATCACGCTGCTGGGCCATGCACCCAGAAACCGATAACTCAAGTCAGCGGGCAGTGGACACTGTCGCCAAAAATACACCTTTTTTTTTTTTCCTTTCTTTTTTTCCTATTTTAAATAATGCATTGTTGGAGTACAATTTCATTGCAGCCTTTGCTTGTCTTTTTACAACCCTTCTTTCCTGTTTTCAGCAGCATTACACATGCATGTAAACATAAGTACATACATTACATCTGCTCTATTTTGCACACTTAGAACCTGAATGTACTAAAGTGCGTGCTTGACTATCTAATTAAGTGCTGTGGGATTGGGGTTAAAAAGGAATTAAATTATGGAACATCCCATCAAGAAGAAAAAGTGTAGACATAATAATCCTGCAGAGATCTGATTGGATTAATAAATTCTGCCTGTTGTTTCAGCACAGATCCTGAGATTACAACAAAGTATGTACCTATCCCCAGTAATATTATATTGGTTCTCGAGAAAACTAAACTAATCAAGAGAACGAAGGCTGGGGTTCACCAATTAGTTTCGCTTCATTTCAGTCAGTTATAGAGGTTGTATTAAATGCAAACTATGAATCTTTAACTCATAGAAATCACTGCCCTAACGTGTACTATTGTCAGTTTTAGAAAACCAAGTTAAATACAATTATGCTAAAGTGTTTTTGTAAGATGTATTTAACAACATAGCCTAGCCTAGGTCCTCATCTCTCATCCAGTCAACTAACGTGTGCAATTGTGCCACTTCATTACCTGTGGATATGAAGTTATCGCGCCAATGAAAACAATCTGACTCAGTGTAATTTAACCACCAGCCGATGGTTTTTAAAAATAAAAACAACAACAAAATAGCATAGGTATAACATCTAAAAGTCACAAACAGCTCTAGTGGTCCGATACAATCATCTTTAGTATGCTTAGTACCAGAAAATGGGATGAAGAGACAAAAAAATGAACACAAAAAAAGCACATATTTGGATTTCTGCTATTCCTGAAATCTAAATAACAGGTATTGGCCTAAGCAAAGATCCCTCTCTTTTTCCTCTTAGCCCTATTTGATTCTATTAGGGATTTCAAACTCCCTGGTCTTTGATAATGCCGGGACACAAAGATAAGCCGGGCAGTTTTATTCCCACTAGATACTGTGGTTTAATGCTGTTCCAATCAAATTGGTGGAGACATAATTGGTCTCAGGGCTCGTCATTCTCTGCCATTAAGCGATCCAACTGAAATGATGTGGTACGTACGGAAGGCATGGGTCAAAAAGGCATTTCATGAGATGCCATAAAGGCAATCCAGTGCATTTGTGTTGACACTGACAGTAAAATGCCCGGCACACAGAGCCATTCGTTTAGTCTTTAGGTTATTTTTCCATGAAATATTAAAAAAAAAACAACCAAAAAACTAACCCCCGAGAAAAAAAAAGAAAAATCAAAACACATTCCAGGGAAACAAAAGCCCTTGTGACAGTGATTGTCTATTCAATAACGCCAAACAAAAGAAGGCCAAAAGAAAATATTGCTTGAAAACTGCCCAATAAAAATAGCAGACAATACTCCTTAATCTGTTCTAATTGATCAGCGTTCACCGGTTGACATATAAGCTATTAGATGCTTAAGACTAGTTCATCAGCTCCGAGAAATACTCCTTTAGAGAGAGCTTGTTAAAACCGCAATGCTGATGGCCGGTTCAACTTCAGAAACACAAAGAGCAAAAACATCATTAGTGCCAAAACCCAAAATTGATCACTCTTTTCAACAATCAGGCCATTCAGATTCTAAAATCTTTTCCTTAAAAACACTGTTAAAGAGATGGGAAATAAATTGAAATGGCTTGTTCACTTATGTGCTCAGATATATGATGCTTTGATGAGGTGTTGTTGGCAGATATTACTAGTAAAGCCTTCATCTAGAATAAACAAGGCCTCAGTCAGTCACTATCCTACAGTAGTTCTCTAGTCCTACAAAAAGAGAACATTAGGCCTACGGACCCTGGGTGAAGATGAAGCAGCTGCTAAACGAGTTGACGAGGTATATCGAGATCTATTGTCTTTCTCTATACAGTACAGTTCATCTCAAATAAATAATTTATAGCCATAGTAGTGTTGATCAACTTTGGTCATAACTTATATGCTTAGAAACATTCTAGCTTAACAAACACTTATTTAGCATCTTTAAAAAAAAAGGAAGTCAGCATTAAGAACAGATCGATGTTACGATGCTGACCCGAGCATGGCTCTCCTTTGGAAGGAGAGCATGCCAATGTATTCAGCAGCATTACCAAATTATCTTAAAATGCCAAACAATTCTAGGCCGTACATTTAAAGTACACTATGGAATTAACATCTTTGTGACCCTTTTCCAAATTTGCAGATTGTACTGTAGTACACAAGCATTGCACTCTGAAGCTAAATTTAGATTTTTCCCTTGTGTGGTTCCTTCATAAAAATCTAGGCTAACGGACAATTTAAAAACAAAATTTAAAAAAAAAAAAAATACCATAAAAAACAAAGAAACTCTTTGATCATTAATTTGGGAAGGCTGTATGTTCCTCTACAAGGTCACTGCAACTGATTTAACATGATATGACTTTCTTTATAGTGAGTGATATGAAGCGAAATACAGTTGAGGATACAGACATGCTCTTAAATGTTGGTTATATAACTATGTGAACATGATTTTAAAGGGTTAAATGATTTAGAGATGGCCAGATTGCTAGTGTTTATTTTGAATGCCACACTTTATCTGAGTGACCTTGTAGAGCAATGTGCCTCTACATATTAAGCACTATTAGGAGATGGAGGAATGGGATCTAATTGCATATTAGGTTTGACTGCACCTCAAGAGAAGACCAAACACTCACGCACACACAGACACACAAACACATACATACACAGAAAACAGACATGTGGGTGGGTGCTCTCCTGGTCCTCTGGGCCATTTTAAAGGGAGTCGCCCCCTGGTGGTGATGATGGTGATAGCAGCTGACTGAGAGGGCCGTGTGGCCTCACTCAGACAGACACCCGTCGAGGCCAACTGGTGCACCGTGACGGTCTTTGACGTAGCCGTTGTGGAGGCCGTTGCTGGGCAGCGGGGCGCAGGCGGCAGTGATGCCGCAGTGCTTCAACAAATTGAGACCCGGGGAGGGGGAGACTGTAGGAGAGGAGCAGGAGCAGGAGGAAGGGTCCCGCTGGGGGAAAGGCTTCATGGTAGAGAGGATCAGAGCCAGGCAGTCAGCCACGTCCTTGTTGGGAGCACAGGCCAGAGCTGGGGTATGTCCTGTTCCACATCAAAATGCACATTAGAGCATCATGTGTCAGAGATGTTCTAATCAATATTGGAACTACTGATAATTAACTAATGAAACATTATTTAAAAAATTAAGAAGTAACTCAGTGGTACAATTTCAGAGAAATACTACACTTTCTCTTGGCTCTAAGAACATTTCAGAGTCTTAATTCTAATTGCTTAGTTTGCCTCAGCTCCCCATCTTAAAGCTCTTATTACTGACTCACTTCCAGTACATGGTTTGTTGTCCACAGGCATCGGTAAACCACTTTAATATTGAGTATAGCTCAACTTCTGAACACTCGCCTCACACATTGTTGTTTCCATCTCAGCGGCCAATCAAAATCAAGGGGTGGGACTTGCATCAACATTGTCTACAATGATCCTGTCTGTCACTGTCATCCAGCACTGAAGAAGGAAGCTTTTGTAACTAAGCAACAATAAGCACTTCAGAAAAAACCCTCAACAAATTAGATCACAGGCACACCCAGTGCAAAAGCAGCTGCCTTTGGACAATGACCCTCAGAGCACTGAAAGGCCACTGCTCACTACCTGCACAGCCACGTGTATGCAAAGTCTGTGTTAGTTAGTGAACACAATGAAATGTTTTACATCTGAAGAAAGACATTTTGCACATTAGGTTATTAAGGTAATAGATCTTTTTCTTTCACCGCTGGCTACCTGCACATAAAGGGCCAACATCCAATAAGTAATGGCTTTAATATCATTCCACTGCCTGCATATTTAACCCATGTGCCATTAATAAAGATCACAAGTTTCAGTAATAATATAGAGCTAAAAACAAAAAGAACACTTGGATATAATGGTAGCAGTGTTTGGTGGCCAATGCATGTTTGTTTACCAGACCTATTAAAATCTGCTTTCAACATTACTTCCCTCAAACAGGAACAAGATTAACAAAATAAATGAGTAAAAATGGACTGCCTTTGTGTTCTTATCTATAGAAAAATGAAACAAACTGAAAAATCTCAATTTTGGTGTTGCTCACCTTCCTCATCCACAGCCAGCACCGTGGCTCCTCTACTCAGCAGTGCCTGCACCACCGTAGCCAGGCCATTGCGTGCTGCAAGATGGAGGGGCCTGTGGACAAACAAGGTAGTGTTTGGGAAGATAAATAAATAAATAGATGCAAGTCATAATATTCAATAAAAGATCCATCCTAAATCCAATGCTCAGATGTAGAGCCTAGTGATAGTAATTAAATTCCTGTGCATCTGTTACTGCAACATGGCAAAATATCTTCTTAACAATACAGGAGATAAATTCTACAAATTAATTAATCTAAATTAAGTAGACTCCTGCATGAAAAATGTAATATATTAACACTTTACAGTTGAACGGGAGAAAAAAAAAAAATCACGCTAGAAAAAACATGGACTATGCAGCATGTTGTGGGTGTCAGTCTAATTCCACATATACAAAAAAATCTATTGTTGGTTTAAAATGTTGCCAAGTTCTCACATTTGCAGAGCACTGTTGGTGGCATTTATCAGAGTGGGACTGTGGATCTCGCCCAAAATCAGCAGGGCGCACATCTCATGAGCCTGAGGAATAAAACAAATGACCATAAAAAATAATAATAATAATAAAAAATAATAATAATAAAATGTCAACAGAAAGATATTCCTTAGAGAATCCTGTGATTTGAGGATCTTGTGAAAAACTAATGTGTACCTTGCTGCAGGCCAAGTGCAGGGCAGTGTTCCTATTCTCGTCCAGCAGTGTCAGGTCAGCCTTGGCCCGGTGAAGGAGGATGGCTGGACAACACCAAGACACAAAATTTGTTTATTCTTTTTTTGTTGCACTAATTTGCCTTTTTTCCTTTCTTTTTTTTTTTTTAAATTGTTATAGAAATGTTTCACATTCTGCAATAAAAACTAAATCCCACATAAGTAACAGTTGTAGTACTTACCCACGGTGCCGCTGTGTCCCTTGTCAGCTGCTACCATCAGAGCAGAGCGTCCACTTTTGTCCACTGCATTGATGTCTGCTCCATGACGAAGCACAAGCTGAAGTCCTGCGACATCCTCAGCAAATGCAGCAGCATGCAGTGGGGTCCTATAGAGACAGGATTTGTTTTTGTTTTTTAAAAAAATAAATAAAAATAAAAAACCCAAAAAAACTGTTAAATGTCTGTGCTGACGAGCCAACTTTCCTGTCAAGCTCTTTGCGGTCAAACAGGACCAGGCTGCTGTACGTCTTTTTAAAATGTATTTTATGCCCGTTTTATTAAAGATCTGTTTTGGATATTCCACCAAGATCTCCCAGTCGAGAATGTGGGAAAATGTTTGCCCATTTATAAACTATGTAACATTTAACTCCACATCCCATCCCTGCATCTATATATTTCTTTTTTGTTTATAGCCAAAATCACACCAAATCACAACAACAGTTGCCCCAAGCTGCTTTGTACTGTAAGGTAACCTTACAGTAATACAAAAAAGAAAACAGGAAACCCCAACAATAACCACAATTTGGTAACCACAATTGCTCCACATTGGTCATCTTTTGCACAGTATAAAAGTCCCAGGCTTTTTCTTTTTTCTAAATTGAACAAATGTATTCCTAAAAACCTGATAAAGTACTTTTCATTCTGCAGCCTCACCTTCCTTTGGCATCTCTGGTGTTAATCATGTGGACCCCAGAGGTTTCCAGCAGTCTTTCTGCAGCACCGCAGTGGCCATTCATCCTATCAGCAAGAAAACCATGTTAATGAAAAGTTAACGTTATCTAAAGGTGCAATGCATATATCCATATTTCGCAGACATCAATATAATCCTACCCTTTCACCCATGTGCCTCAAATGTGAGACAGAAATTGGTACCCTAACTCACAGCTTCTGGTCATGTTTGAAATTGCAAGAATATTGGTCTAATGTGTTATCTGAAATGGAGAAGATTTTCGGTTGTGAATTGGAGATGGACCCTCTGTCTCTTATACTGGGCCTCCCCAGCCAGCTATTAATATCCAAGAATAATAGGAGATTGTACTGTGTTCTCACCTATGCGGCAAGGAATAATATACTACTCCAATGGATTTATGAAAAAGCACCAACTATTAAAGGTTGGCAAAGAGTAGTGTTGGATCTTGTGCCATTGGAATATCTTACATGTATACTGCACTCAAAAACAGATCAATTCTTCAAGGTGTGGGAACCATACTTGAATTATGTGGAACCTGATGTTTCTAATATTATGTTACAAGGATTCTCTTGAGGGTTCAAACTGCAACGTACTACTGGGACCACAGGTATTGTACTGTATTGTATTCTCTCTTTATTTATTTTTTAGATGGAACTGAGCTGGTGTTCTGTGCTTAGTTATCAGTCTGTTTGTTTTTGTTTTGTTTATTTGTTTTTATTTATTTATTTATGGTTCTGAATTGTATACTTTATTACGTTATGTAATTATGTACTATTTGTGAAAAAGAAAAAACTAATAAAAATATATATTAAAACAAACAAACAAACAAACAAACAAAAAAAACAAACAAACACGTTATCTAAAGGTAATTAGTTTTTCCAGACCAAGATACTCACAGAGCACAGTGCAGGGGGGTGAAAGGGTTTCCCTCTTCATGGATAAATGTTTTATATTCAAGTAAAACCTCCAAACAGTCTTCATGCCCTGAGAACAAATACACAAACACACACTTAGCATCAGAGACAACAAATGTGACAGTGATTATGTGTAACATTAATGTTTGGCGTTTAGGCATTAAACTGAGCAAACCTTTGTAAGCAGCCCAGTGTAATGGGGTGTATTGTTTGTTGTCCAGCAATTTATCTTGTGGGTCTGTTTCCATGGCGGCCTGCACCAGACTGGCCAGGATCTTTGTGTGGCCTCTGGATGCAGCGTAGTGCAGCGGTGTCCTACCCTTGGTGTCCCGACATAAAGCAGAAGCTTTGTGCTCCAGCAGGGCTGTCACACACTCATCATGGCCCAACACAGCCTGTGCAAC